GCATAAAGACAAAATGCATATGAAAATTAATTTTATTATCATTTTTATTTTTCAATTCCCCTTGAATGTGGTTTCAGTGGACTTATGCTAGAAATACTGTACCATTGCAGCAAAGAATGTGCACAGAGTTAGCAACAGAGACCATTCTAGAAGCATCTGAATATGCTGTTTTAAATGTAGTTGTTTAGTTGTTATGACAAATGAAAAGCACTACCCACAAAAAGGAAACCCAGTGTAGGAAGGGAGGCTGTCATTTTGAAAACATAAAAAGGAGAGTCGTTAAACTATCACAAGGTTAGTAACTTCATCTTAATATTAATAATTTTGGCAAATAGCAAATATTTCATCTGTGTTATAAAAAAAACAACAAAATTTTAAAACGCTTTACAATTGCTTTGCTTTTTTTCTCTAGGAATTGTAGCAAGACCTCCTGTTTCAAAATAAATCTTTAAGATCATTGAGCCAATATTCCATCATGTATGAAACATATCCATTGCATGGCTAACTGATGATTTGCTCAAATTTTATCAGTATAATTACATTTTCTCTTTTATCTAGGTAGATGTTTTAAAGATTCTTCTGTGAAAACCTCAGCTAATGAATAGCTGTTTTTCTGATTATTTTGTTTGTTTTTCTGATTATTTTCAATTTGCTTCCTGCTTAGAGAGCCATATATTTTTTTCTTTCTTTGAAAAAATCATTATGTACCAAATATTTGAGAAATGTATGTGAGATCACCAAGTAGCAACATAGTCTTAAATTAGATACATAACTTAAGAAAAACAAGAAACACTACAATATTAGAATCTCAAACCTTTAAAGACCTAAATACCACTTGTTCCACTTTTTTATTTGACAGAAAGCTGGTTGGAAGTAGAGCCAAGAGCAGGAGCCAGGTCTCAGTCATTTTTGCATGACTTCACACTGTGCTTCTTTAGCTATACGGTATCTTTATGGTCAGACATTTTGGGGTCAGATATTTTCAGGATGAATGGTCTATTAATATCTTGTTCTGGCTTTGTTGCATGCGATGCAAAGCTATACAGCTTGGAGTTTTAATCTCTGACACATCATCTGGTGATCAAGAGTGGACCACAGAAGGTAGCTCATGCAACCCTAGCATGAAAGGTTTAGCCCCTCTCTAAGTAAATGCCCACACTTGGCAAAGTCCAGGCAAAATGCCATCTGGAGCCCTCGCCAAGTCCTAATTGATATATTTTGATTTAAAAAGGTTTTCAGACATTTTAGAGTGAAGGGAAAGGAAAGGTGGGAAAAAATTGTGGCTTGGTAAATTACTATAATTTACTTGCAGGACAGGACTAGCCATTAACGAATGATTTGAATATGAAAAGAAATAAAAATTAACGGTGTTGCTAAAACCTAGATTGTCTTTATTTCAATTTGTTTTGGGAGAGGGTTGACAGGGAGATGGAATCTGAAATTCAGGGGACAATGTGGTTATTAAGCATTTGTGCCACCTTGGGAGTCACTTCACATCTCAGAAGTTATCTCACTTGTAAGTCGGGAATAATGGTAATAGCTAACTTCTTTCCCCCAGCATATTATGGGGGTACAAATGTTAAGGTTACCTATATTGCTCTTGCCCCAATAGCTAACTTTTAATGAATGGTTATTATATGCCAGGTACTATTCTAAACTGCTTTACCTGTATTAACTCATTTAGTCCTCATAAAAACCCACAGTGATTATTATAAGCCCTCCCCCATTCTTCCTAAATGAAGAACCTTGAGCAGCATGGAGGTTAGAGCACTTGCCCAGAGTGGCACAGTGACTTAGGGGAAAAACCAAGATGCAAGCCCAGGTGGCCTCGGCTCCAGAGCCTATGTGTGCTCTTAAACATCACACCCTGTGCCTCCTGCTGTGCTTAAGACATTAAATAAAATGGGGCTATTGGAACATTAGCTATGTCTCATGTAAATCAACCTTACAACAGAAAGTACTTTATTGTTCCCAATCCAGACACTAGTTTGGATCTAAAATTTTTGATTTCTGTTCACTGAACACTGTTATGTTCCCAGTGACATGTTTATGTCCTGAACAGTCAAATGGCACCATTTCAATCCCCTTCATCTCCAGGCAGGACTTTTCCCATAATGGACCAATGCTCCTCTCCGTTTTTGAGCCGTTAGGAGTCTTTCAAACACTTTTCCCATCTGTCTTTCAGATAAAGAATATTTCCTGCACACAAAATCACCTTCTAAAAATACCCCTACAAAGTTTTTACACTGGTTTTAGAAGATCTATTTGTTAACAGCAATTCATAGTCATGACGCCTTTGAGGATGGTGAAGAAGGCACATTTTCAAGTTTTACAAAGATTCTCACTTTTCTCATTTCCCTAATGCTTTTCATTCTGAAGGTATTTGGGTCCAGGTTTCTGGTTTGTCTGCCTTCAAGCCACATGATACAAATTCTGTGTGCATTGCTCATGATAAATTCAGCAGGTATTTGTGTAAATGTCATGCTGCATGTAAAGTGACAAGAATTTCACTATAATTTGGCATGAGGTGAAGCATTAATTAAGGGACATACATACAAATGAGTTGAGGGAAAACATTTTGCTGTCAGGTGGTTTGGAAAATGACCATAATGAACATTGTTGGCATTTTTGTGACCTATAAATGCTATATGAAGCTTTACCAAAAAAATCCACTGAGGTCAGCAGCAGCAAAGCATTAACTAATGGGTACTTAAACTACTGGCAAAATGAATCATATTAAAGCTTCAAAGAATAAATCACTATTTACTGATGCAGAATGGATTACATGATTATCACAAGTCACAGCATATGAGAATGTAATATCATTCATAAAATAGACCCATTTACTGCAAGTTATTATTTTTCTTTTCTAATTAGTAGAACAAATGTAAATGGCAAAAAGCCTGGATACTCAGGTGAGAGAAAAATATCTGTTCTACAGAGAGCTGAAATGGATATTCAAAGCATTAAAATTATATTACCCCTCCCCCAAATAAATATTAGTGCCATTTAAAATGTAATGCTGGCAAGAGCAATATACATAACCTAAACATTTGTACCTCCATAATATGCTGAAATAAAAAAAAAGAAAATGTGATACTGTTTAATGCTTTTTGATTGTTCTTGTTAAAACTTCAGGGACTTTGATTTGAATAAAATATTTGTAGGAGAACATCTAATGGGGAAATGAAGTAGGCTGGCTCTATTATGTTACTATGTGGCCTCAATTAGTCTTTGCCTTGCCACTGAGTATAAGCTGTCCTCTGAGAATCACATCATGTTCCTTAGTCTCTTCTTGGTCTTCAGTATCAGTAAATTATCAAAAATAGTGACTGGAGAAATTTTAGTCCTGTTCCACCGTCCACAGACCTCTTTCCTTTAACATTGTCCCTGATGTTTTTTGCGTGCTCTGATGTATGGTGCTTCGGCTTCTGTCTGTCTCTGCATTCATCCATACTTAGCAAGTTAATCTCCACATATAGGTTCAACTGCTCTTGATAAGTTAGAACCTATTTTTATTTTAAGAGTGATGTAAGAATGGGATGGAAGAGTGGTAATAAGGGACTCAACTTGAAGCTTAAAGACTTACACGCTTCAAGTTGAAACATTATTGTGATCTACTTTGGTAACCCGGTTTTCTGGAACTTGAGTTCTTCCTAATTTCCATTCTTCTGGAGGCAGCAATTTTATTTTCTATTACTAGGTGTCAAGGCCTTGAATCCAGTTGTTCCCATAGTCCAGATCATAGTCTTATATATCTGTTCCACATCTCTTTGCTGGTAATAATTCCCGTCCTATTTTGCTCAGAGTAGTTCCCTTGCCTTATCTTTTCTTTCTTTTCTAGGCTGTAATCTCTGTAAGAGTTTACTCCAATAGATGTATGTACTCTATTCAACTGGAAGATATTGGCTAGAAACTTACCAAAACCATTTCCTCTACCTGGGTCTTTAACTAAACTATACTTCCCAAGTCTTCACATCTAGGTGAGACAGTGACACTAGTTCCAGCTTCTGGAATTTAAGCAAAAGTAATGTGGCATTTTCAGTTTTGAGGCAATTAAGAGCAGGATGTGCAATTTCTAGAGTCTCTCTTTCCCCTCCATTCAGCTGAATGATGCTATACTGATTGTGAAAACATGTGTTGGAGACAGTGAAACTGAAATAAGGATTTTTGCATTTCTGAATGACAGTATGCAGCAGAAACCCTGATTCTGTACACTCAATCTGCATTGGAGGATGACATGTTAAACCTCTGAAATTTTGAGTATATTTTTTAAGCAGCTAATCTAATTTATTCATAAATAGGCTATAATAAAAATCTAAAATACATGACAGTGGCTTAGCATTTGGGTAGCAAAATTCAAGGAAACAGACATTGGTGGCTGGAAATATGGCAATTTGTATAATGCACTGACAGCACATGTGGTAAAACTATAACCTGCCATATTGGGAGGTAGATCATATGCCTTCTCAGCTGACAGGCCTAGGGGAGGTCAACTGAAAGAATAAAACTGTTAGCACATGTTGGCTAATATTAATTGGGGTTGGCATATATAAAAGTGGCCTCAGGAAGAAATTGATCAACTTATTAGTAAAATGAATAGGAATGGAGTGAGTTCAGAAAAGTTCCTTGAAGAGTTAGAAAAGTTGACTGTTTCTACCTATTTTTAAATAATGTAATAATATTTTAATATTATTAAACATAATAGTAATTTTAATATTATGTATACTAATAATTTGAATATCTTCATAATAATATTAAAAAATCCTTCCTGGTTAAGTCTGATTCCTCAAGAAAGTTCTCATTAAGGTTGGAAAGGCCTGTTGTTAAAAAAGCAAAGAAATATTTCAGATTTTGAACTATATCTGTGAAAGAACTTTGGGTATATTTAGATACATCATACTAATTGGACAAATAATTTAGAAGCCTAAAAAATGTATTAAGATAGAACTAACACTCTCTGACTAAACTCTAAAACAACTATTGTTTTATTTATCCAGCAGAAAGTGGATTCCCAAAGTTTTTGTGTCTCCAGGAAGGGTATAATTTATAAAATTTATTTTAAATGTGGCTATGGAGGATTTTGGCATGGAAGAACCATCTCTCCAAACTGAGAAGGCCAAGGACCAAAAGAATAATAAATATATGATGTTTTTTCCAAAGAATAGAATCAGGTTTGTAATATCTGTCCCATAGGATTTCAGAATCTTCGTGTACCAATAACTGCTTTGTGTATTCCATCCTTCCTCTCTTTGGAACGGGAATGACTATTGTAGTTATACTGTTCCTGCTGCACCATTATGCAATGTTAGAGGGAGGCAGGCAATTTCTCTTTTTAGTTCATTAGTCACCAGACCATGAGAAGCAACGTGAGGCAAGTTAAAAAGGACTTTGCATCATTATTTCGACTGATTGCAGTGAATGGTTAGGACCTTGCATTTTCCTTGGGGAGTAAATGAGTGTGTTCCACATGCAGGATGAAAAGGAAAATGGATATTTCCTACACAAATGAGGATTGTAGCAGAGACAATGATATATGCTGGCCGAACCCATTTCTTTTTCCTCTGGGACCTGTGGATGGACCAATTTTCTTAGTCAACTTGAGATAGATAAGGCTATGTAACTGGATTCTTTTGAATGAAATGTGAGCAGAAGCATTGTATACAACTTCTAGGTGTAGTCCATAAAAATAATTTAATCATAGGAATCATTTAATTTCTTCCTCTTTCAGGGAATCCTTGGAGTATATGTGTTTAAGATGGTGGCATCATAAAATGGAAGGAGCCAGAATTGTGAAGCACAGCTCTCCTGACTTAACACCATCTCATTAGGTTATGACATCAACAACCAATAAACCTTTATTGAGTTAAATGACTGAAAATTTAAGTTATTAAAAATTTTCTGCAACATTAGCCTACCCTGACTTGTACACTCATTTTTTTTGCAACTTTTACTTTTTCATGAAGACACTGCTCTTGGATTTATTTTGTATTTATACTTTTACTTGTCCTATTTGATCTATGTTTTAATCAGTATGATAATCGATTCTTATATTGATTTCATAAATTACTAAATTGAGCACAAGGTTCATTTATTTTTATTTTTTGTTTGCTTATAGTGAAAGCATTTAAATCTATTATTTTTACTCTGAGTACATTTTACTCTGATTCTCTGAGTACAGCTGTGGCCACATCCCATAAATTTTGACACATTATTTTGTTTTATCACATTTTCTTTGTCATTATTTTCTAAAGGCTCTCAGTGAAGTTTTTATTTCCTCAATGATGCAAGAGTTTGTGAGAATGGTTTTACATTTACACATGGTTAAGCATACTGGTTTTAAATAGTGTTTCTTGGCTTCTAGCTCAGAAATTTTGAATACATTTCTTAACTTTTCCAAATTTTTTTAATGTAATTTATATAGTGGTTGAGGGTATTAAATGAAAAATTGCAGGAAAAATACTTAACATCATGCTGACCCAGTTGAACCTGCTTCCCTGAATGGTGGGACAAGCAGTAAGAGAAGACAGTATTTCCAATTCCAATTTAGAACAACAGGATCACTCCCATTTATGTAACAAAGTGTGTACCAGGGCCTTCTGGTTATCTATTGGTGTGTAATAAACCACCCTAAAACTTTCTGGGTTAAAACCATAGCATTTATTTTGCTTACAAATCTGCAATTTGGGTAAGGCCCATGAGCGTAGCACATTTTTGCTCCATTCAGCATCAGCTCCGGCCTCTCAAAGTCTGAAGGCTGGAATCTTCAGAAGACTCATTCATTTTCATACCTAGTGGTTGATCATGGCTGTTGGTTTAGACCTTGGCTGGGTTTATGGCCAGGAAACCTACTCGTGGCCCTCCTAGGTGTCCTGGGCTTTCTTACACCTGGTGGCTGAGTTCCAAGGGTAAGGTACAGAGAAAGAGAGAGACAGAGAGCCAGGTGGAAGTAGTATTGACTTTTCTAACTTAGCCATGGAAGTCACACAGTGACTCTTCCTCTGTACTCTATTTGTTAAAAAGCACAAAACTAAGGAGGCTCATATAATGGGGTCAAGAAATAGACCTCACCTTTTTATGAGGAAGTGTCAGTGGAACATTGTAAGATCACATGGGACATGGGATGGGGTATATTTGAGTGGCTGCCTTGGGAACATATATCTGCCACACTGGTTTTTTGCTGCCCGTGATTTTTATTTCTATCACCTACTCTGATATAAAGTAAAAATTCTTCTCAGTTTTTAATTTGAGGAATGGCTGTAAGCCTTTATGTTTATTATTATTGATTTTCTCTGCATCTTCTTAGGTATTTTAGTGCTAATATTAGAGAAGCTGAATATTACGCTCTTAGAGATGATTTAGACTATGGTGGGCCACATTTGAAATATTTTCCTAATGCCAAAACCACAGCTCTCATCAGGAAATGCCATCAAATAAACTTGGATTGACTTAAATTTAGTGAAATAATTAAAATATACTTCCTTGTGGATAATTCCTTCCTCATTTTAATTTTGCAGTGTACCACTGCTTTGTTTATGGCTATAACTTTTAAGGATGGTAAAATCTTGGCACTGGGCTAGAAATGTTATGAACACAGAAGTAGTGATCTATGCTTTGAACAGCCAAATCTAAATCAACCTTTGAAATATATTACTTGGGTTGGCAAGATGCAGCCTGGACCAAGGACATTCCTGCAAGCCAAAAACTTTTGGAACAGTAGATAAAGCTCTGACATTCATATCAGCTGTGACTTTGATTAAGTCACTCTTTCTGCAATTTCAAATATCCGCCTTAACTTTCTGGCCAGACCTGCTCACTGCCACCCACTCCTTTAAAACAGGAGCGATAGAGAGGGTGGAAAAAGCAAGCTATTACTTGCTAAATTCATTAAAAACTAATAGCATCACATCCTGAGTTGGCAGAGCCTGAATCAGCTATAGAGCCTAGACGTTCAACCCTAGAAATGAAGCCTGATAAAGATGCACAAGGTTAGAACCATATGTGTTAGTAATAATACTTAATATTTCCTGAATGCTTAATGTGGGCTGGACACTATACTAAACACTACATTTATTTTATTTTATTTTTTATTTTTATTTATTTTTATTTTAGTGTATTATGGGGGTACAAGTGTTAAGGTTACATATATTGCCCATGCCTCCCTCCCCCCTTGAGTAAGAGTTTCAAGTATGTCCATCCTCCAAACGTTGCACATCTTACTCGTTGTGGTTGTATATACCCATCCCCTCCACCCCTTCCCACCCTCCCGACACCCGATAAATGTTACTCCATATGTCCACTTAGATGTTGATCCGTTAATACCAATTTGCTGGTGAGTACATGTAAACACTACATTTATTATCACATGTAATTTTCTCATACAAGTTAAAGAGATTATGACCCTCATTTTAGATGTATGGAATACTAAGGCTCAAAAAGTTAAATACCTTATTTAAGTTCACACAGCTAAGTGACAGCAGGAATTCAAACTTCAGACTCTTTCTGACTACAAACTCTATATTTGCAAATACTTGTTACACTGCAGATATGATGGAGATCTTGTTCAATCCTCTAATTTTATGATGAAGTCGTTTAGGCTTAGAGGTTATATGACCATTGCAAGGTTACAAAGCTAATTAGCCATTAGTCAGGCCTTTAGGTGCTGTGTTGAAATACTGTGTAAATCTACACATCATAGTGCTGCATGGATTTTTAATTCCACTTAGAGGCCCTACATCCTAAATAATTAACAAGCCAAAATCTAGATAATTAAATATTAGAGATATATTTTTGAATTTATGTTTTATCAATACTTGAGTTCTTATAAAATTATTGCGTGGTAAAAAATTCTCTGTAATAGATAATTGCAGCATCTTTACTTGCCTTTTTCACAGAGATATTTTTCAGGGCCAATGAGATGTCTATAAAGCACACAATGTAAAACACTAGGCATTATTTAGATAAACTACAAGACAACCCTATCACTGCTGTATTTGTGATCTGAGGTCATTTCGTGCTATCAGCTGCCCACAGTGCAGGAATCCAACAACCACAAGACACTCCTTCCCACCTACCCAAAGTGGTTCTTTCCTTCTCTGGTTAAGCAGCTAGTAGCACAGACTGTCGTGGTTGTTGCATTTCTCCACACTGGGCAGCAGAAAGTAAAGGAAGGATTGTAGTTACAAATTCAGCAATGGAACAAGCTTTACTGGTATGTTTAATTACTTCCTATAAGATACACTGAAGTGCTGTCTTGCTTTTCCCCAGGGTCCAACCACAAGCACATTAATGCATAATGAAAATTAGCAGGATAAGCCAAACACAGTGCTATCTGGTGGTTTCCATCTTGCAATAAAATAAATATACAAGCATACCTTGTTTTATTGCACTTCATTTTACTGTGCATGGCAGATATTGTGTTTTTTACAAATTGAAGGTTTGTGGCCACCCTGTGTCAAATAAGTTCATCAGTACCATCTGTACAACCACATGTGCCTACTCTGTGTGTATGTCACATTTTGGTAATTCTTGCAATATTTCAAACTTTTTGTTATTATTATGTCTATTATGGGGATCCATGATTAGTGACCTTTGATACTACTGCTGTACTTGTTTTGGGGTGCCACAAACTGTGCCCAAAGAAGACTGTGAACTTAATTGATAAATGTTGTGTGTGTTCTGACTGCTTCACCAACCTGGGTGTTCCCCCATTCTCTTGCTCCCTCTCTTCTTGGGCCTTTCTATTCCTTGAGACACAGCAATATTGAAACTAGGTCAGGTAATAACCCCCAAATGGGCTCCAAGTCTTCAAGTGCTTCAAGGAAATTAAAGTGCTACTCCAGTGGACATATGAATGATAAGAAAACAAAATAGGTTTATTGTTGATATGGAGAATGTTTTAGTGATCTGGATAGAAGATTAAACCAGCCACAACATTTCTTTAAGGCAAAGCCTAATCCAGAGCAAGGCCCTAACCCTTTTTAATTCTATAAAGGCTGAGAGAGGTGAGGAAGCTTCAGAAGAAATGTTTGAAGCTAGCAAAGCTTGGTTCGTGAGGTTTAAGAAGAAAAACTGTCGCCATAACAAAAGTGGAAGGTGAAGCAGCAAGTTTTGATGTAGAAGCTGCAGCAAGTTATCCAGAAGATATAGCTAGAATGATTGATGGAAGTGGCTATGCTAAAAAACAGATTTTCAATGTAGATGAAACCACCTTCTATTGGAAGAAGATTTTACCTCGGACTTTCATAGCTACAGAGGAGAAGTCAATGCTTGGCTTCAAAGTTCAAAGGACATGCTGACTCCCTTGTGAGGGGCTATTGCAGCTAGTGACTTTAATTTGAAAACAATGCTCATTTACCATTCCGAAAATCCTAGGGCCCTTAAAAATTATGCTAAATCTACTGTGCCTGTGCAGTATAAATGGAAGAACAGAGCCTGCATGACAGCACATCAGTTTATAACATTGTTTAGTTACTATTTTAAGCCCACTGTTGAGACCTAATGCTCAGAGAAAAAGATTTCTTTCACAATATTACTACTAATTGACAATGAACCTAGTTATCCAAGAGCTCTGATAGAGATGTATGAGGAGATTAATATTGTTTTCATGCCTACTAATACAACATCCATTCTGCAGCCCATGGATCAGGGAGTAATTTTGACTTTCAAGTCTTATTATTTGAGAAATACATTTTGTAAGGCTATAGCTGCTATAGGTAATGATCTCTCTGATAGATATGGGCAAAGTAAATGGAAAACCTTTTGGCAAGAATTCTCCATTTGAGATACCATAAAGAACATTTATGATTCATGGGAG